CTCGTGTCCACCCGTTTCATGTACTCATCACCACTTCATTATCTATATATTCCTCTAATTATCTCTTATTGTCCATAATTATAGCCGAAGAGAGACCTCAGTGACCAAAAAGGACAAAACAGTTCACTGCAATACCATCGCTGACATCATCTGTTATCCATCGCTCAGGTGTGACCATCACTTGCTTTGATCCGAGTCTTTACGAAAACTAATTGTATTTATTATCCGAACAGAAATATCGAGGATTTCCACAAATTTCTTGGGATAGCAATCGAGACATTCCTCGTATGTTGTGATGACTCGGATTCAGACGTCCGGATGACTGCCAACGAGTGTCTGAACCGAACGATTAAGAACTTAATGGACACACAATTGGGACGAATTCAAGTGGAGTTATACAAAGAGATTAAGAAAAACGGTTCTTCACGTAGTCTTCGGGCGGCTTTGAGTCGATTCGCAGATTTGGCTCATTTGACACGACCGGCGAAGTGTAGGCCATATGTCTTGAATCTGTTTCCATCTTTGGTTAAAATCAGTGAACGAACTGAAGAGGATTTAATTCAAGACACACTTCGAGTAGCGATGACTAAAATAATGCCAATTTTGGCGCCGTTTGCCACCGATAACGAGATAATCAGTCTATTGAATGCATTTCTGCCAAACTTGCAGTTCGTTATGTCTTCAGTGCGGCGAACGGCCGCCTCTTCTCTCGTCATTGTCTGTCAATACTCACGAAAACCACAAATCTTTTTCTCTTGGCTTTTGACTCATTTGTTGCAATCATTGAACCAAATGAATGCCATTTCTGAAACCAATGACAACTCATTAGAGGCTCAGACTTCTGACCGATTATTAGTGGGAATATTCTTGTGCTTAAAGCATATGATTCCACACTTACATGACATTCCATCTCATGTTGAATACGAGAGTCTTAAGACATTTGGTGTCAGTCAGAAGCAGAGGGAACTCATTGCCAAAGATTACGACACTATCACTGAGAACTTGTTGCAAATGTTTGAACTAATTCTGCATAATATTAGATATAATAACAATAACATTGTAATCGTATCGGCTTTGGAAGCGCTTCAGCAGCTCATGAAAACCCCTCCAAAACTTATTCTTCCATATCTTTGTGACCCGAAAGGCATCGATAAGTCAAGAATCGGGAGTTATATGCAGTCGACACCCGTTTCTCCGATGCTGTCATTACATCGAAATAAGGGTCGAATGCAAAGCACTAACTCTTTGAGCTGTTCTTCCATTAATGTCGAGTCATTGGGTGAGGAAGAAGTGGTCAATATTTGTGGCATTACTTCACTCGAAGATAAAATGGATCCTAATATCAGTTATTTTGAAGACAATCCTCAAACTCTCGTGGAATCACAACAATTGGATAAATCATTGGATGATTTGAATGGAAGTGATATAACATCTGAATATGAAAACAACGAATCAATGGTCGAAACGCCTCGAGTAGAGAGCGATAAGAACTTTGTGTTTGAATCGGAGACTACTTCTGTGAAGCATAGCCGACATTCATCGATGAGTTTCCAAATGACAAAATTGACTTATTGTGACTCCGAAGACATGAATGATATTCAGATATCGCCGTCAAATACTGACGCCTCCTTTGATGCCATCGATGACCAGTTAAATGTGAGCTCTATTTATATTTTCATATTATTGTTTGATTGTTTATAAAGAAGTTTTTGTAATTCATTTAAGAATATTACAGTAGCATTTAAAGTTAGACCTAATATTTATTGTAAGGGATACTGTAACATATTGTAATATTATGTAATAATATGTAATAATATTGTAATTTTACTCTTATTATGCAATTTGTATGGAAAGTGTGGAGATATCGGAGAATTGACAACAGAAAACATAAGTTGTTTGGAATACTGTGTTAGACTTGTTTGCAATCAATTCCTATTGAATGGAAGTACTGGTCGACTCATATCTGACAAACGAGTTCGCGTTAGTATCAAGTCATTAGCGTTAGGATGTGTTGCAGCCGTTGTACGCCTTCTGCCAAAGACTTTGATTATAGAAATGTTTATTGAAAGCGATAAGACATCCCAGAAAACAGGTAATCAATTAATTTTAATACTATATGACAAATAATTTGTAAACTATGATAATGATTGACCTAAAATACCGCTAAAACTTATTTGCAAAGAATCGCCGCAAAAGATTTGGGATATTCTTCAATACTCGACACACACTGACCCACAAGTTAGGGGACAAATTGCCTTAATTATTGGCAATTTTATTAATGAAGTTCTTAAAGAGTCCCAAAGTTTTAATGAATTTTTGCTTCAAAACTGTTCCATATCTTCATATTCAGGTATATCATGAATTAAATGGATTAATAAACTATAATTAGAAAAATATTAATTATTTCTTTTGACTTGTTTTCAAAAGAATTTCCAACTTTAGAGGAATTAATGACAAAATTATCGTCAATGATATCCGACGAACAGAACTCTTCAGTTGCTATAAAGCAGAGTTTGATTGGACTTAAAATATGTCTCAAGAGTTGCTTAGAATCTAAAGATAGCATCAATTTATATGCGCTTTCATTAATGGATCAGTTAATTGGGTTGAAAGACAACCCCTATTGGCTGATCAAGGTTTGTATTCCATGAATATGAATATGTGAACAAAAACTAAATTTCTGATCGCATTAAAGACCGAACTCGTGGACGTCTTCTCTCAAATCAATTACAAGACTATCCATTACTTCGAAACATCCAAATCTGAGCTCAAAAATGGAATTATTGTTAAGAAAGAAAGTCTTCAGAAAAGGATTTTAAATGAAGTGTTTCTCCCACTACTGGCCGACGAAGACTTTCGAGTGAGAGAGGCTTCGGCTCACTCTCTGTGC